ATTAAGTAGTTCACTTTTAATTATTTAAAAAATTATATTTAGTTTTTAAATTTTTTAAGTCAACATTAGAATAACCATCACTATTATTATTATTATTATTATTACATTGTTGATTATTTGTGTTTGTTTTATATAAAATTTTAGGTGATATATTTTCATTTGTATATGTATTTATTGACTCATCCTGTTTATTTTGCTTTTTAATCTTGTTATAATAATCAACTGTATATTTATATATTTGATCAGTGGTGAGTTTTTTATCTTCATGTGTATTATTTATGTATTTATTACTATGGATATTTCCATTGTTATTGTTATTATTGTTAACACTATGAGATGAATTAAAAAAGTAATTTACATTTGTTACATATTTTATATTATTGTTTTTTGTAAACGGATATGTGCTATTATTATTTTGATTAAAATTTATGTCATTATTTATATTTTCTTGTTTGCATATATTTTTATCTTTATATATACCATTATTATTATTATTATTATTATTATTTAATGTATTAATGCTCTGTGTGAGAACTGAGCTTGTGTTTAAGTTATTCTTATTATCAATTTGTTTCTTTATTTCTTTCTTTTTAATCCGCATAACCGGCTCAACACTTTTGGAACACTTACTTATGTTAGTATTTTCATTTTCGGGAGGTTTATACATTAAGTTTTTAAAGATTGATAGAAAATCTTTATTATTTATTTTTAAATCTATATTATCATTTTCATTCTTCGTGTTTGTACTCGTAATATTTATGCTTTTATGACTAGCATTGTAGCCGTTATTGTTCTTATTGGTTTTATTATTTCTTCCCTTTTCATTTTTAATATTTTTTTCATTTTTAATATTTTTTTCATTTTTAATATTTCCTTCTTTTTTAATATTTCCTTCATTTTTAATATTTCCTTCTTTTTTAATATTTCCTTTATTTATAGTATTTCCTTCATTTTTAATATTTTTTTCATTTTTAATATTTCCTTCTTTTTTAATATTTCCTTCATTTTTAATATTTCCTTCATTTTTAATATTTCCTTCATTTTTAGTATTTCCTTCATTTTTAGTATTTCCTTCATTTTTAGTATTTCTTTCATTTTTAGTATTTCCTTCATTTTTAATATTTCCTTCATTTTTAGTATTTCCTTCATTTTTACTATCGCCCAAATTTTTACTACTACTTTTACTTTCACTTTCATTTTCACTTTTACTACCACTTTCACTACTACTATCGATATCACTACATTTTTCAAGACAGAAATTTCTAAGTATGTCATATTTATCATCATTTATATTCAAACAATCTTCAACTTGAATTACATTTTTATTATTCAAAAATTCATTACTTGTTATTTTGTCGATACTATTACGATTGTTTATGTCTTTTTTAATTATATTATTATTATTACTGTTATTATTATTATTATTACTTTTATTACTGTTATTATTATTATTACTTTTATTACTGTTATTATTATTATTACTTTTATTACTGTTATTATTATTATATTGCTTAAGACTAAATGAGTGGATGTTATTTTCCATAAGGTTAATATCGTTATGTACATTTTCATATGGAGATATTTGGTAATCATTATTATTATTTTTTAAATTATAATTATTACTTATTTTTTGTGTTAATTTTTTAAATAACACTTTAATTGAGCAAGTATATATATATATATATATATATATATGTATATGCGTGTGCGTTTACTCATGTAAATGTAATATATATTAACGTGTATAATGAATAATGTATAGTACATTTTTTTATTTTTACTTTATCCAGTTTAAAATTATATTTGCATTTTATAATATTTACTTATGTAAAGTATATATATATATATATGTATATATTTTTTTTATTCAACAAACTGTTAACTATATTTGTTCTAAAAATAATTTTTTTATATATATATATTTTTTTTTTTTTTTTTTTTCAAACCTATAAAAATATATTAAACAATTTTTTATATTTACATTGCAAGAGGTCAAGCTATTTATTACATATTCTTTTGTATTAATTTGTATGTTCTTACTTATTTATATATTCCTCTACCCTTATTTGTACTCTCTTACCCTTATTTGTACTCTCTTACCCTTATTTGTACACCCCTACCTTTATTTGTAAATCCACTTTTACTCATCTTCTGTATGATCCTGCCTATTTAACTTTTTTTTCTTGTATCAAACAAAATGGTTTTTATAACAATATCTGACGACAGTAAAATTATAACCAGCTTGGACGTACATGAAGACACTATAATTTCAACGGTTATGAACATAATTGAAAATGATTTTAATATTGACATGAACATTAATGAATTAACGCATAATGGTAATGTGTTAGATCAGTTTGCTACGATAAAACAATCAAATATTAGTGAAGGAGAATTATTATTTGTAAGAAAAAAACTAAATTTTAGTTTACCAAATAATAATTTAAACAATAATACATTAACTACACCTAATAACAATAATAGTAATGTTAGAAATAACAATATGGCTAGTTTAATCAACACATTAAATACATTATATCCACAAAATAATTCAAATCCTACATACAATTCGACAAATATTATGAACAATCCAGGTTTTACTGCTTTATTAGAGCAGTTTCAAATATTACAAGAAAACGAACAAATAAAAAAAGATGCGGAAGTATTACTCCAATTGAAAAATGATAATAACAGAATGAATGTATTAAAATTGCAAGATATCAACTTGTATAATGCAATAAATGAACAAAATTTAGAAAAAATAAAAAAGATAGTAAGAGAAAAAATGGAATTAGAAAAAAAAGAAAAACAAAAGGAACTACAAATGTATGAAAATGCTTTAAAAAATCCTTTATCTGAAGAATCACAAAAATTTATATATGAATATATATATAAAAATCAAATAAATTCAAATTTAGAGTTAGCTCAAGAACATTTTCCAGAAGCTTTTGGAGTAGTACATATGTTATATATACCCGCAGAAATAAATAAAAAAATAGTCCGTGCATTTGTAGATTCGGGTGCTCAAGCTAGTATTATGTCAAAAAGATGCGCAGAACAATGTAACATTCTAAGATTAATGGATAAAAGATTTACAGGTATAGCTAAAGGAGTAGGTACTAAAAATATATTAGGAAAAATACATATGATAGATATAAAAATAGGGAATTGTTTTTATGCTGTATCACTAACTATTATTGATGAATATGACCTTGATTTTATTTTTGGTTTAGACATGTTAAGAAGACATCAGTGTTCAATTGATTTAAAAAAAAATGCATTAATAATTGAAAATAATGAAATACCTTTTTTATCTGAAAAGGATACCTTACCTTTTTCTGTTAATACTATTGATTAGGATTTATCAAATAATTTAGGATAGTTTTTGGATTTTTTTTTTTTTTTTTTTTTTTTTTTTTTTTTTTTTTTTTTTTTTTTTTGTTACGATAGTACCTAAAATTTGTCTAACATGTACTTTATTTGTAATTTTTTTTTTTTTTTTTTTTCTACCCATTTAACGTAAATATATATTTATATATACATATTTTTATATATGTATTACTTTGTATATCATTTTTTTTGCTAAAATATTTAACTTCACTTTTAACTTCACTTTTAACTTCACTTTTAACTTCACTTTTAGCTTCAATTTTAGCTTCAATTTTAACTTCAATTTTAACTTCACTTTTTTTTTCTTTTTTTTTTTCCAACATTTAATTAAATGCAAATACTTACAAATGGCTTAGTTAAAATAGTATATAATATATATTTTTACCACAATTTGCATATATTTGGAAAAAAACAAAAAAAAAAAAAATAAAATATTTCCTTTTTTTTTTTTTTTTTTTTTTTTTTTTTTTTTTTTTTTTTTTTTTTGTATGTGTCTTATACATCCACAATTGTGTTGTACATTTTAAAAATGCAACAAATGGACGAATGTTTAATTTTAGTTATTATAAAGTTTATTTTTTTAAACCATAATATGTATATCCTTTTGATGTAAATTTTTTCCATACAAAAAAAAAAAAAAGAAAAAAAAAGTTATTTATATTGTATGATGATTAAAAAAAAATTATATATATATATATATATATATATATTTGCATGTATGTTTCTATGTTTTTTGTTTTTTTGGTTCTGATCGATATAAAAAAAAAAAAAAAACGCATGGAAGATCCCTTCACATAAAGTACTTTTTTCAATTAATGCTAATCAAAGTAAACTTCGTATATTACTTTTACTATATTTGTGGTGTTATTATATAGATGTATATGCACACATATACCTGTATACATACATTTTAATGTACTCGTACAATCAATGTGTTTCTTCTATCAACAAAAACAGAAAATAAAATAAAATAAAATAACACTCAAGAAAAAGAAATTATGAAATGAACTAAAAATAAAAAAAAATTTATAATCTCATATATTTTGTTGCGAAAAATTATATTAAATAAAAAAAAGGAATATATGCATAAAAAATATTTTAAATCAAAGTTTAAAAAAAAAAAAAATATATATATATATATATATATATATATATATATAATATTTGACAACTTTTATTTATGTTATTACGTTAGAGCAAAAAGAAAAAAAAATGTGTCTTATACATCCACAATTGTGTTGTACATTTTAAAAATGCAACAAATGGACGAATGTTTAATTTTAGTTATTATAAAGTTTATTTTTTTAAACCATAATATGTATATCCTTTTGATGTAAATTTTTTCCATACAAAAAAAAAAAAAAAAAAAAAAAAGTTATTTATATTTTATGATGATAAAAAAAAAATTATATATATATATATATATATATATATTTGAATGT